CCCCAAGTCCCTCGTGTGGCCCAAGCCCTCACTGCTCCATTGGACAGGATCCTAACAATGCCACACCTCCTGCTCCCACTCACTCCTCCAAGCCTTGGCTCAGCCATCCTACCCTCTTCAGTAAGTGGATGCATCAATGAGTTCCTGAGGGCTCCAAGCTCCCAGAGGGAGGTGTGCCTAAGAAAGCTCTCGCCAAGAACTCACACCCACAAAGGAAACGTTCCCACAAAGTTTGGGTTTCATCTCCACCCCAACAACTTAAGAATCAAAACTCACATTGGTTAGAGCCTGTCGTAGAAGCCCCGTGAGTTGGGGAAAGTAAGGAAGGAAGCAGTACGTGCTGCCTGTGGACGGCACCACACACTTGTAGCTCAGCTGCGGTACTCAGGTACCCTTCCATCCCACTTAAGGTGGGAACAGGGTTACAGAATGGCACAGCCATCCATCCCGGGCTATGAAAAGCAGCTGGGGCAGCCAGGGATCCAACAAGAGCTCCCACCTCTCACCCTGGACCAGAGTTGGCTGGGAACCCCAAGCCATTCCTTCTTCCGGACCAGGGAGACGGAGGCTCCGGTCACACAGCAAGTAAGACCAGGGCCTCTGCCATCTGTACCAAAAACAGGAGATTCTGTGGAGTCTCCGTGGCCTCTCCGCCGTCCAGCAAGTTCCCTTCAGCCTGCACGTGCTGGGTCAGGCGCTGGGCATCCTTCAGACTCCAGGACAGAGCCAGCGGGGGTGGGGGGGGGGCACCCAGCTGGGCCAGCGCACCAATGAATCGCGGCCTCACTGCAGCGCTTGCAGGCTCCACGCGCTCCGAGTGGGCGATGCTGCGGCTCCCGGGAGCGCGCGGCTCTCGCGGGCCAGGATCACTGGGGGCCAGCGGGGGGGTTGAGATGGGGGGGTGCTGGGCTCCTCTTGTGGGCCTGGATCACTGGGAGCTCCCGATCACTGGGGGCCAGCGAAGCCCCCCCCGGGGGGGGGTGCTGGGCTCCTCTTGCGGGCCCGGATCACTGGGAGCTCCTGGATCACTTGGGGCCAGCGAAGCCCCGGGGATGGGGGGGGCCGGGCTCCTCTTGCGGGCCTGAATCATTGGGGGCCAGCGAAGCCCCCCAGGGGGGGTGCTGGGCTCCTCTTATGGGCCCAGATCACTGGGGGACAGTAAAGCCCCCTGGGGAGGGGGGTGCTGGGCTCCTCTTGCGGGCCTGGATCACTGGGAGCTCCTGGATCCCTGGGGGCCAGCAAAGCCCCGGGGATGGGGGGGCGGGCTCCTCTTGCGGGCCTGAATCATTGGGGGCCAGGGAAGCCCCCCCGGGGGGGGGTGCTGGGCTCCTCTTGCGGGCCCAGATCACTGGGAGCTCCTGGATCACTTGGGGCCAGCGAAGCCCCGGGGTGGGGGGGTGCTGGGCTCCTCTTGCGAGCCTGGATCACTGGGAGCCGGATCACTGGGAGCTCCCGGATCACTGCGGGCCAGCGAAGCCCCGGGAGCGGGGGAAAGCTGGGCTCCTCTTGCGGACAGGCCGGGGTGGGGGGGGCGGCTGGGCTCCGGCCCGCGGGCCTCCTCCCTGCGCATGTGCACCCCGGCCACCGGGAAGGGTCCGCGGCCGCCAGGGGTGCGCAGGGGCAGGCGGGGCAGCCGAGGGGCCGGGACCTGGACGGGGACCTAGGCAGGAAGGCCCGGGGCAGGCCTACCTCGGTGCGCCGCGGGGCGCCCAGTGCCGTGCGGCCACCTCCACGGGCCGCCCCGCACAGCCCCGCGCCCGGCCCCGACGCCACTGTGGCCGGACGCCGCCCCGGAAACCCGCCCTGACGGGAAAGGAACACCCCCAAACAACGGTTCCGGCGTCGCAGGGGACAGACCGCAACCCAAATCAGAAGGGGCTGGCCATTTCTCTGTGGCCACACAGCGAAGCCAGAGGGACGGACGATTCCCGCCCTGCGACAGCAGAGGAAACCCCGGCCTTGACACGTAATACATCACACGGCAGGAAGACAGAGTGCCGGTGGTGACTCCGAGGCCAGACAGGCGGTCAGTGGCCCAGAGCCAGGTACCGTGCCGCCAGTCCCTCCGTGGGCTGCAGTCCTGGAGGGAACTGATCCCCAGATCCAGAGCACAGCTGAACCCTTGGCCTCCAACTCCACAGCCGGCCAGGAGGCCCCTCCCTGAGGAATCCAGCGGGATCTGTTGGGCCAGCTCCCGGAGAGGTCGGCAGCAGCAGCCCACCCCGGGGGGGCGGGAGTCAGCCAGCGCTGGCTGGGGCTGCTGGAACGCACGGAGGTCTTTCTGCAGGGACCACACACTCGGGGCCAGAATCCCAAATGTGCGACCCACGCCGGCTGAGGGAGAGCGTGCTCACACAGCTCTGCAGGCGCACGCACAGGCCCGGTGGGAGTCGGCCCCTCTCCCTCTGCATCAACCTGAGCTGCTTCCTACAGCCACAGTAGGACATGTGCAGAGCACCCCACCACAGCCAGTAAGTAAGTGAGCACTGGAGCACAGAGGCCCAAGGGAGGACAGAACAGGTGACCGACTTGACCTGGTTTGGGATGCGTCCCACGACTTTCCCAGTTTTAACATGCAGAGGAAGAAACAAGAACAAGGCAGGAAGCTAGATGCCTTAGCAGGTTTGGCAAATCATTGCCATCTGGTGCTGACAGGGAGGAGAGAATTCATTCCTGGGTTACACGGGGAGGACTGAAGCCAGAGAGTGAACTCCCCAGTCATAAATCCCACCCCATGCAGAGTTTAAACCCAAGGTCCCTGCCTCTTGGGGGAGGCTCAAGGGGAAAAGATCATTAATCCCCTTAGGAGGTGAGGGCATCTTTTTCATTACTTCCTCCCGATTTCCCCGCCACCCGCAGGCCTGCACTGCACCTCGAGGTTGGAGATCGTTCAGTCTGGGATACGACAGCCCAGAAACGATGCCGCCTGTCCACATGCCAGAGCCAAGCTCCACATTGGAGAGCTGGGGAAACGTTCCCAGCACAGTGTTCACTAAACGCATCAGCTTTGTGTCCATATCAGTAAGAGACTCAGTTTGCCCTAATGCACCAGGATGTGCTGAGCAACACCTACAGGAAGCCCGCGGGGTTGGCTGGTGCTGGCCAAGACTGCTGGATTGCCTGAAGGCCTTGGCACAAGCCTCAAAGATGCCGTGCTGGACATCCAAGTGGGACAGGCCATGTGCCTTGAGACAGAAAGCATTCTGGAAGACCTGCAGGCACTTAGGACAGCTGTAAACCAGGGGGGACGAGGCTCCCTTGTCTTGCAGGCTGTCATCAGGCTTCTCCACTCCCATCGTGGGTCTGTAGGTGTATGGTATGTCCCTCTGGGCATTGAGCAGGTACCGGCCTTGACCCAGGGCAGGAAATGAGCCTGAAGGCCCAAAGAGAGGAGGAGGGGCAAACTCAGAGGAAGGGTATTCGCTGGGGATAGGAGAAGCCTCCACTGATGAAAACAAAGCCATGGGCATCCTTGAATCCAGACGAGCAGCTAAAGGAGAAAAACCTGCCTTAAGTGAAAGCAGGGAGAGCTGTGGTGACCAAAGGCCCTCCCTGCACCCCCCCAATCTCAGTATACCCATGTCATCCTCCACTCTCTACTCCTTAACCACCCCCCCCCCAAGTCTGGACAAGGGGCAGGGGCGGTTTCCATGGCCCCTGTGCCACACGCTGGACTTGCTGACTTTACCGCTGCTCCACGCTCCCAGGGTTCACACGGGCCTCTAGCATCTATCAACCCATTCCTCCTGGTGTGCACTGCGGTCCTCTTACACTCCCCGGAATCCGCATGACCGCTGCGCTTTCCTTTACGATGCTGGCCTCCCTCTTGTCTTCCAAACGCCCCGCAGGGAGGATGCACTCCTCCCTCCCTCCTGGGACTCCCCGCGCTCCAAACGAGCATCTGCACCCCTCAGAGGTGCCTCCCCTCTGACGACCGGCGTCCCACCCCCGCCCTCCGTCCCCACGGCCGCGCCTGTGTCTGCCCTGTCCGTGTCCCCGACGGTCGTCTGACCCTCGCTCCCTCCCACCCCCCCAGATGCCCACCGGAGCCTCGCCCCAGACTCTCTGCAGAGCCCTCCCTCTCGGCGCAGGGTCCTGACGCTTCCGGATCCCCACTCCAGACACAGCCTACTGTCCGTGCGGGTCTGGATCTCCTGGGAGCCCTAACGGGGCCAGCCACTCCGACCGGAAAGGAGGGGGGGTGGCGTTCGCGTGAAAGGCTTCCGGGCGTAAACACACGCCATCAAAGAATGGTTCCAAGAGCCTTTTGTTCCACTGAGCTGAATCTCATTCCTTCACTCCTTCAACAAATACTTAAGCATCTCCTTCGTGGCATCTTCCGGGGATGAAAGAGTGAGCAAACCAGACCGAAGTAGTCTGTGCCTTCCTTCCCTTCAGAGGTGACAAATGTTTTTATCGGACACCTGCTGCAGCAAAGAGCTCTCCTGGGCCTCGTGGGGGCGACAAAGCCCAAAATATTGAACAGTCACCCCACCTAAGCACCTGGGAGAGGCGGGGGGTGGGGGAGGGTGGGTGGAGATGACCATCAGGAGACCCAAAGCATCACTAAAGAATCTTATGTAGGGGAGACAGGGATTTCAAAGGAGAAGGTCCTTTAGTGTCTCAAACTCAGCCCTACCGTTTTTCGGAGACAAGTGAAGCCCAGAGAGGTTCAGTGAAATGTTGGCCACACAGGTGGACGCCAGAGCCAGGATGGCAACCAGAGCTGGGACTCGACAATTTCTCATCCCATTATGTTCATTTTAGGGAAACTGTTCTGTGGCCCCTGAAAGTTAAGGGGTGAAACTAGAAAGGCTGAAAACAGAGCTGCCTTGGGGAAGGAGTCCCCTGAGTGCAAGGCAGACGGGTGGATCCTCCAACAGAGTGGTCGGTCTGGCTGGCCAACTACACTCTGGCTGAGCGTGCTGCCAAGGAAAAACCGGAGGGCTGAAGCCAGACTCCATGGTAACTGTCTGGAAGGATTAAGCATTCCATCAAGATTTTGTAGCAAACTTCAGATTTTAATGAAGCAGCTTAGAAATGACAGGATTCCAATATAGTCTCCGAACACTCAGACCCCCTCTCCAGGTGAATCTAAGAAGCGTTGTGTGACACCATTCTCCCTTGGTGACTCAGTTTCCCCATTTGTCGTATAGAGGCCACCATTCTTCAGGGTTTTTTTTATATAAGATGTAAATTACACAAAGTAACAGACCAGTGGATTTTTACATATATACACAGCAATATAACAGCACCCCAGAGAGCTCCCCCGAATGTTTCCAGTCGGTCACCGAGAGAGCTCCCCCGAATGCTTCCAGTCGGTCACCCAGAGAGCTCCCCCGAATGCTTCCAGTCAGTCACCCAGAGAGCTCCCCCAAATGCTTCGAGTCAGTCACCCAGAGAGCTCCCCCAAATGCTTCTAGTCGGTCACCCAGAGAGCTCCCCCGAATGCTTCCAGTCGGTCATTAACCCCGAGGAAGGGTAACCACGTTTTCTGATTTCAACTCCAAAGACTACTTTGGCTTGCTTTTAAACCTCATAAAAATATAGTTATATTTTTTTAAGTACTTCTTCACGCCTGACTTCTTTCACTCAACGTATGTCAGCCATGCTGTTGTTTTCAACAGTTCATTTGTTTGTTTGTTTTTTCCCATTGCTGTGTAGGTTCCGTTGTATGGCTAACCCACAATTTCCTTCTCTTTTCTTTCTAACTGCTGACGGACATTTGTTTTGCGTTTTGGTCTATTACGAACAAGGCTACTAGAAGTATTCTCATACGTGTCATTTGGTGGATATAAGGACACACTTCTTATGAGTGTGCATCTGGGAATGGAAGTGCTGGGACCTGGAGTACGTGTCCGCTTAGCCTTAGTGTGTATTAATGGTCTTCTAGGTGGCTGCAGCAATTTGCATACCGTCAGCAGTGTACGTAGGTTCCAGCCGCTTCACACCCTCCCCAACACTTGATCCTGAAAGTCTTTACTCTCAGCCTGGCGGGTGGGAAGTGTATCTCATTTCATACCTTCCTGATGCCCAGTGATGCTGAGCACATCTGCCTGTGCTCACTGGCCACTTTAATAGCTTCTGTTCTGAAACATCTGGTCCATTTTTAAGTGGAGGGATCTCTCTCGATGGCCAGGGAGGAGGCTTGGCAGGCTAAAGAAACCAAGATCTGGAAAAGCCGCACAACGTGCTCACGTTACACAACATTCCCAGTCCACTGGACTGCCATCATAGAACACCAGATCCGGGGTGGGAGAAATGTACTTCTCACAGTTTGGGAGGCTGGGAAGGCTATGGTCAAGATGCCGGCAGATTCAGTGTCCAAATTCACAGACAGCACCTTCTCTCCTCACATGGAAGGGGCGAGGAGGTCTCTGGAGTCTCTTTTATAAGAGCACTAAACCCATTCATGAAGCCTCCACCCTCATGACCTAATCAATTCCCAAAGGCCCCGTCTCCTAATACCAACACACTGGGGATTAGGTTCCAACATATGAATGTGGGGAGGGGGGAGCCGTAACCATTCAGTCTGTGCAAACAGCAAATCAGGCACATACACACAGTCTTCATCCTAGCACCTGAGTCTCTGATAGTGAATATGGTCAGACACTGCCCCATCTACATCCCCCAACTTAACGCACTTGCCAAGAATCTAGGAAGCAGCTGTGGTACAAAGGGCAAGAAAAAGAAGCTGGATGGATGAGGTGGGTGCTTCCAGAGGTCATGCGTAGTTCAAGTCCAAGTGGGAGGTGCTGCAGGACCTGAAGGAAAAGGCCGCTGGGTGAACCCAAAGACACACCAGAGCTTGACGAGGATGCAGGGAAAACTGGAACCCTCAGACATTGCTGGTGGGAATAAAAAAATGGTGTGTCTCCTCAAAACGTTACAGATGAAAATTTACCATGTGACCCAGCAATTCCATTTGCAGGTAGATACTCAACAAAACTGAAAACACACGTTGATACAAAACCTTAGGCATGAATGTTCAGAGCAGCATTATTCGTAAGAGTGAAAACGTGGAGAGAAACCCGATGTCCACCGGTGTTTGAGAAGTGGATGAATCCTATGTGGTGTATCCATTCCATGCACTATTACTCAGCCAGGACTGAACAAGCCTGGAAAACTACTTGTCCTTCAGAGTGACAACGCGTAAAGCCCGCAGGCAGGGTCACTGGCTGGAGACATCAACAGGTCCTAGCCCCAGGCACTTGGACTATAAACTGCATCGTCTTGGGAGGATTTTGAGCTAGGCAGGGACTCTACCATGTGAGGGCTTTGGGATTCCTCTGAAACTAGTGGCCTGAGGTCAGGAGGCGAGAAGCCTGGGGGGAACCTGGAGGTCGGCAGGAGTCAGAGGATGCTTTCTGGAGGAAAGCTTCTGAAAGGCCTGTGGTGGCGGGCTGTTGGAAGTCGAGGGACGAGGGAGGGGCCTGGTGCTGAAATGCAAGCATGAGAAAGAATGAGGTCCGAGCAAGCGGTGATGCACATCGAGATGGCAAGAGCGATGCACAGGGAACCCTAAGTTCTCGCTGTTCGTGCTCCATGGGCAGACTGCAATGCCCTGGAGAATCTCAGCGCTGCAGAGAGGAATTCACCCCGGAGAATACCACCAGCAGCAGCCCGCGCGCGGTTCGGGGTCCGTGCAAAGGCATTATTCCGCTCGGCGCCTTCACACCTGCTTTTATTCAGTCACCCCGCGAGGTAACACACAACCATTCCCGTTTTGCAGGGAAGAAGACTGAGGCTCAGAGAGGGAGTTCACTGCTCAAGGGCACGCGGGCACCGATAAAGCACCAACATCCCTGCAGCCGAGAGTCCGTCGGGTCGCAGCTTTACGGCGCCTTCGGAGGCCGAGCCCCTTCCCTATACCCCCTGTCTTCCGCCCCGCCCACCACGGCCCTTCCAGCCTCCGCCGGCCTCTCTATGGTCTCCCCGCCGCCCTGTACACACACGCTTCCTCTCGTTTCCCTCCCAGCCTGGCTGTTCTATCCGCCGCCACCCTCTCTATGGTTCCCACCCCCACCCCCACCCCCGCCGCTCACACGGTGTCGGCTCTTTCTCGGAGTAACTCAATCCCGGCCTTCGGCCTCTCGCCCCGCTCCGAGCCGAGCTGGGGCGGCCTCTCTGGTCCGGCTGGGCGGAAGTGGCGCCCACCGGGAGAGCGCTCGTACGGAAGGCCCGGGCAAGGAGGGACCGCGACCTCCAGGGAGAGACCCTGGAAAGACGGTGCGCCATGCAGGCCCTCCCTGGAAAAGGCTCCGGCTGGAAACGCGAGGCCGGGAGAGGAAGGGTCCGCTTTCCGCTCGGCCCCGCCCCCGAGGAACTGGGATCCCAGAAAGATCACCGTGTCCAGAGGAGGTTCCTGCCTCGTGTTTCATTGTTGTTTCCACAGCGCTGGACACAGACCAGGAAATTGGGAAATGCCCACTCGGGACACAGACCGGGGAAAACGAGGCCGAGAAGTAGGAGGGAGCTCGGCTAGGACTCGGGGATGTGGGGCCACTGCGCCCCTGACGCCCAGTTTGCAGAAGCTCAGTGGGTTTTCTTTTTCCTCTTAAAATAGGCGAGGTCGCAGATCCCTGGAGGGCTCCTCAGGGAGCCCTGCAGGGCCCTCGCAGTCGGCTCCTGTCAATCAAATAATATAGGGGGGAGAGTGTGTTGGAGCTGAGTCAGGCAGGAAACTCCTAAAAGTACTACATCCACTTGTAAATGTGGGGGTGGCGTGGTCACTGTCACCTGTTAAGTTTTGTAATTGGTGGGAATTTGTTTTCTCATAATAAATGTGCACGTGCATACCTTATTTCGTGTTTCAAATTTTGTGTTCCTTGTTGTGTAAGTCGCACCCCACAAAACCTGGATCTGCCCCCTGCTCTCACACTCAGTGAGCTCTCAGCAAACACTAGTTATTATTGTCGGTGTTATTTTCGTTTGCAGACCCTGCAACAGGAAGGTGTGAGGATGATCTATTCTTTGAGGATTCCTATTGGCTTAGGACTCCAGACAACCATAATTACCAGCTACTTATTCATTCACATACTTATGTATTGACTCATTAATGTAATACATGTTTACTGAATACCTGTCACATCCCAGACACTGGTGTGGGTGCTGGAGATGCAGGGGGAAATGATAATAACCATGGTCTCTGGGGCACCTGGGTGGCTCAGTCGGTTAAGCGTCTGCCTTCGGCTCAGGTCATGATCCCAGGGTCCTGGGATCGAGCCCCACATCGGGCTCCCTGCTCGGCAGGAAGCCCGCTTCTCCCTCTCCCACTCCCCCTGCTGGTGTTCCCTCTCTCGCTGTCTCTCTCTCTCTCGTTCTAGTAAATAAATAAATAAAATCTTAAAAAAAATAATAACCATGGTCTCTACCTTTATTTATTTATTAGGATTTTATTTATTTATCTGAGAGAGAGCACAAGCAGGGCAGACGGAGAGGGAGAAGCAAGGCCCCCACTGAGCAAGGAGCCCGATGCGGGGCTCGATCCCAGAACCCTGGGATCATGACCTGAGCCAAAGGCAGATGCTTAACTGACTGAGCCACACAGGTGCCCCTAAAAATCAGATTTTAAAAATCATCCACAGGCTCAAGGGGCACCTGCCTGGCTCAGTGGGAAGACCATGCAACTCTTGATCTCAAGGTCATGAGTTCAAGCCCCACACTGGGTGTAGAGATTACTTAAATAAATAAAAAACAATAAATAAATATTATCTAGAGGCTCCCTCAACTCCATGTTATATTATGGAAATTTACAACCATAGAGAAAAGATGGAAGAATTGCATAGTGAACATCCATATACCTACCTTACAGGCTTATGTTTAAATGTCATCTACAGTTTGATCCTAAAAGATCATGTTCAGCTAATTCTTTTTTTTTTAGCAGCTTCATTGAGATATAACTCACATACCATGTAATTTACCCATTTAACTGATGATTCAATAGTTTTTAGTATATTTGCAGATATGTGCAGCCATCAGCACAATTTTAGAACATTTTAATCACTTCAAAAATAAATCTTGTACTCTCTAGCTATCACTCCTCTATTCCCTCAACCCCAGTCCACCCATCCTCTGGCCCTTAAGGAACCACAAATCTACTTTCTTTTTCTTTTTTTTTTTTTTTTAAGACTTTATTTATTTATTTGTCAGGGAGAGAGAGAGAGCACAAGCAGGGGGAGCGGCAGGCAGAGGGAGAAGCAGGCTCCCTGCTGAGCAAGGAGCCCGATGTGGGACTAAATCCCAGGACCCTGGGATCATAACCTGAGCCGAAAGATGATGCTTAACCAAATGAGCCACCCAGGCGTCCCTCTGCTTTCTGTATCTGTAAATTTCCCTGTTCTGGATAGCTTGTATGAATGGAATAATAAAATATGTGGGGTTTTGTGTCTGGCTTCTCTCACTGAGCATAATGTTTTCAAGATTCATTCATGTTGTAGCATGTATCAGCACTTCATTCCTTTTTGTGGAATAAAAAATAATTATCTTATGGATAATATATATTATCCACGTAATATATATATTACTTTTTTTTTTTTTTTTTTTTACTCAGTCATGAATTGATGGACATTTGGGTTGTTTCCACCTTTGGCTATTATGAATAGTGGTGCTATAAGCATTTGTTTACAAATTTTTGTGTGAACAAATATTTTCATTTCTTTGGATACATCCCTAGGAGTGGAATTTCTGGGTCATATGGTAACCCTAACAGCCAATTCATTTAAAAAGCAGGGGATCCAGCCCAGCAAGGAGAAGTGATGTGCTCACAGGAGGGACAGAAGGAAGCAAGAGTAGACCCCACATCTTCTGATTCCAAGCCTGGGACTCTTTCTGCCATTTTATAGTGGCTCCACGCACCAGACTTCTAGCATCAGATCATGCAATAGAGTACTACATGCAATTAATGTAGTACCAGGCCATGAAGGACTCAGGCAAACAGGGGGAAAGGCAAGGAACCCACAGCTATTGAGCACGAGTTAGTTCCAGGAATTGCACTAGACCTGTAGCATTTTCCATCTGCGGTGCTCTCAATACAATCCCACCCAAGCAGCATGGCGCTGCCCACTTTGTGCATGACAGCTGGATACTGAGAAGGCACATCTTGCCCAAAGTTGCATAGCAAGTGGATAGATGGCTCTGAACCCAGTTTTGTCTGGCTTGAAAGTTTATGGTCACTCCACTGAACTATGGTCTCCTCCACAAATAGTTGTCTCTAGCTCTGATACCCAAATTCTTCTATATCTCCATTAATTTAGCTACTCATCCATTCATTAATTTGTTCGTTCACTCACCAAACATTCACTGAGGCCTTCCGAGGATGCAGAGATGAAACAGACCCCCAGCCCACAAGAAAGGAGAACAGAGGATGAGCTCTGTGCTAGATGCAGTATCATGAATTATCTCATTTAATAGAAGGAATCTCATTGAAAAACCATGTCACACCCATCAGATTGGCAAAGATTAAATCTGACTATCAAATATTAATAAAGACTTTAAGCAACAGGAGCTCCCATTCATTGCTGGTGGAAGTGTAAGTCAGTAATAATTATAGCTAATATATAGTTCCTACATTACACTTTACAGATAATGGCTCATTTAATCATCATAGCACCTAACACTTAACCCTGTTAAATAAGTACTATTATTTTTGCTTTACAAATGAGAAAACAGAGGGCTACCTTTCTCATTAGACACAGCAGGTACATACAGTGCCTAGGGCCCATGACACTTTTAGGAGCCCACGAAAAATATTTTAATTTTGAAACCAGAAGAAAAAAGAATGTAATCCAGCCTAGCTTATGTTCATCTTTATACCAACACAGTCATAAAATATAATTTTAAATATATTTTTTGAAATGAAGGGGCCCCCGAAGGCAGAAATGCCAGGGCCCATGAAAGCACTGGAGACACTGAGTGGTTAAATAATTTACTCAAGAGGGGCGTGTGGGTGGCTCAGTCTGTTGAGCATCCAACTCTGAATTTTGGCTCAGGTCATGATCTCAGGGTCGTGTCATCGAGCCCTGCATCAGACTCAGTGCTGAACGTGGAGTTTGCTAAAGTTTCTCTCTCTCCTTCTCCCTCTGCCCCTCCCCCTACTCTCTAAAATAAATAAATAAATATTTTAAAAAATAATTTACCCAAGAGCCCCCAGGTAGTAAGTGGTGGAGTTACTAGAAAAGAAACTGAATAATAAAGATGGGAGTTGAAGATGTTAATAAACTTTGATCCAGCAATTCAACTTCCAGTGATATAATATAGAAAAAGCTCTCTTTGGGGTTCAAGGAGACATGAGCAAGAATACTCATGGCAGTATTGTTTGTAATAATAAAAATTTGGAACCGACCCAATGTCCAACAATAGGAGAATGAAAACATGTAATGGGACATTATCATCAGTGGGATATCACACCAGCATTGACATCAGCAGTAACTAGACTACATGTATCGATGTATACAAATGTAAGAAGGGGAGGAGAAAAAAGTTAGAGAACATTAGACTGAAATTGTATCATTTAGTAGAAAAATTTTTAAGTTGATTTATTTTTTAATAATCTCTACACCCGGGGCGCCTGGGTGGCTCAGTCGTTAAGCGTCTGCCTTCGGCTCAGGTCATGGTCCCAGGGGTCCTGGGATCGAGCCCCGCATCGGGCTCTCTGCTCAGCAGGAAGCCTGCTTCTCCCTC